CCTGAGTGCTTGAATAAAGGATTGGAGAGTTACAGAGTAGATACAACTGTCTTGGAAAATATAGGCAGACTCCTAAATATTTGCTTCTCACTGCTGAGGAGTCTCTTTTGTTCCTGTGTTGATTCCTGCTCTGTAGCAAAAACATGCAATGTGAATCAGTAATGCTAATTAACAGAGGCAATAAATACTAATGAAAAATACTTTAAGAATTAGTTACTGTATTAACTAAAGCAGCAGGCACCTCTGACACGAATCTCAAGCTTGTAACCCTGCAAATTATGTGCATAACACCACTGGGTTCTTTTCAAGATTTTTCAAAAAGTTGCTAGGAAGTTGCACGCTACATAGACTACATAAAAAAATTAATATTGCATAAAAGATGGGATCTAAAGCTTCCTATGAGAACTTTCATTCTTCCCCTTATGCATATGCATTAAGGTAAAGTCCTTATTTACGTGCTCACACAGTTTTCCACGTGGCAGTCATGTCTTCTAGTGCATGCAATGGATTCACAGTGACAATGAATTTGGGATGTACATAAAACACCTGGACCACTATTTTCAGGACTCTGGTCATTCTTGACACAGAAACTGTAAGCTTAAAGGCTGGGAAGAGATGAAGAAGAAAGCCTGGGCTGGAAATGAATGTCTTCTCTCTTTTGGTTAAGACTATAGCAACACAGCTCCAGGATCTGGATTCTGGCCTTCCTCAGCCTCGCAGAAGGATTCTGTGATGAGGAAGTCAGTTTAATAAAATCTTTCAGAGACTGTTGCTAATCTTGTGTTTTCTCTGCCTCCAGGGGTCAAATCTGACTGTTTTGTTAGTTCTGTAATTTTTCCAACTGTTTCTGAGATCAGTGAGCATATTCCCTTGAACTTAAATGTATAAAATGCTAAATACTCCAAACTAAGTCTTAAAATACGTACCAAATATTCACCAATATTCCTTCTTTTAAGCAAAGGTCTATTAATCTCCCTCATCTCAGAGATACTGTAGGAATAAATTCACTGATATGAGGGCAGTAACTGCTGTAAGCTGCCAAGCAAATCAACATTGTTTGCAGAGCAGGGTTTGAATGAAATGCAAATACAGTGCAAAGAAGGTGTTGAAGGAACTCTCTGTGTAGTAGCAAGACATTTGTTTTGAGGGGTGGGATACAAAAAGATTTTGTGATACTCTTGTTGCAGGCTGGACAGTTCTTCCTTGTGCCTTCCAAGCACTGTTATTTTAATCGTAGGTAACAATAGACAACGTTGTAACACCAGGCTAGATTAAGAAAAAAACTTGATCACAGCCCACTGGCTCCTACTGAAACACGTTTCACATTATGATTTCTGTTTTAATAACTGGATCTTTCATGACTAAGACTTTCAGAGTTAAAATTCATAACCAGATCTCCTTGCGAATCACTGAAAGATGAAGAAAATCCTCATGATTCCAGGATACAAATTGTCCTTGTGCATATTACAAGCACCAAATAAAAAGCAATTCATAGGGCTTGCAAAAATATGGACATGGGACAGGGAATGAGCCAACTATGCTGGTTGTCATAACCCATCTATGGCTTAATCACTGTGTAAATCTCTTTATGACAAGTCAAAAGTGAGGACACCACATTTATTGGCTTACAAAATGTACAAGTCACCTGCCCACACAGCTACTATCTGCAGGGTGGAAACGGTCAATCTGACCATTCTTACCTAATGACAGATTAAAGTTAGGCCATTGTTGTTGATCAGCTCAGCCTGATCAGCTACAGAAGCCCAAGCCCAGAGCCCCAGGACTGAGCTACTCCTGACATGGGTAAGCCCCAGCTGTCTGGGCAGCACACGCTCTTCTAACCAGCACCGTCTCTCCCTTTGACAGAAGGGCAGCAGGAAGGGCAGTGGTGGGATGTCAGGGCTGACATCCCCTGTAGGCTGCCACATTGACTATAATGACCTACATCTACTCTTATCTACCGTTCTTCCCTCTGGCTTTCTGCAGGATCAACACTATTCTGCTACTCTCCACACAGCACAATTAGGAAGAGGGATCACCCTCCTGTGTGCTTAATTGTCAAAGTCATTCATTTTTTAATCTTAGATTGGCAGGGGACAGGAATTTTTCTTTCTTTAAGTTTTTATACATCCAGAATAGACACAAGTAATGGTACTGTCAAAGCAAGACAAATCTGCTGCCATAACTGACAGAATAAACTTTCTGTATTCACATTACCTGATCCAGGAAGCTGCAGGAATTAGAGGTTTGCCAGAAACAGAAGAAGAAAGGCAGAAGTATAGGTTTAAATTCATACCAAATTGTTATAGTAAAATTTGTATCGGAGAGGTAATTTGCAGTGGTCTAGTGTATTAAGTGTAATAGGTAAAGCACAGAGACATTCCTGCACAGAAAGTCTGGTTTTATTCTGTTCATAGTTCAGTGAAGGCCAGTGAGTTTCCCAGAAAAATACCTCACTCTCCCATCCTGCAAACTCTGTCTCTCTTCTGACTTTGGCAAATGTTGAATTGCTTGTCTTTACCTTAATTTGATTACTAAAGCCATCAAATCAGTTACTGAAGTTTACCAAAGAAATAAGGATAATATAGAACAGTACTGAATCTGCCTTTGTCCAATCCAGATCACAAGTTCTCTCCTGAGAAAGGAGCCAATCACATCTTCCTTCAGCTTGCTTCATACAGTGTCTATTTACCAGTACGAACACAGACAACTCATCCCACTGCCAGCACAAACCTGGTAAAGTAAAAGGCATCTCTTCAAGCAGTAGCCAAAAGCCACAGTCAGAGCTGAAAATTCTGGTGACAGGTTTTTGCTATGGTTATTATCTTAACTTTTCTGTTTTAGAACAAAGTGACTTCCTTAAAATTAAATCTGTTGGGCAAATTACAGCCCTTTAGGGCAAATTTTTACCCTACCCAAATGTTTAAAATGTTTAAAGTATATTTTATCAGTAAAATAATACACTAATAAAATTCACAAGTACCCAGATGCTTAAGGTCAGGTGTTGCACTTATTTCCCTTCCCAAACAGTATAAGCAAGTGCATCTATGACCTCAAAAAAATTTAAAAAATAAATTAAGAAAAAAAAATACCAAATAAAACCAAAAACCACCCAAGAAACTGGAAAATACAGAATACAGCTGACGGCTTAAAACTTTTATCCTCACAGCTTCCAATGTGACCCATAGAGATACTACATCTTTTTAGTGCTAAGAATCATTCAAATATAGCATAACTGCCAGTGAATTCTTAGGGTTTGGTTCACTGTTGGCTTCCCTTTTTCAATAACCCTCACTGCTTCCTGTGGCCACAGATGAGTTTGCTATGGCAGTGCAACCAGGGACTCCTCCCAGCGGGTGTGCTTCCTAAACAATTGACATTGAACAATAGAAAACATTGAAGCATTGGTAGGGCAGCTCCAGAGAGTGACATACAATTCTGTAAAGCTTGGAAAAATGGCATTCACAGAGGTCTCCAGAAATGGGCTTCCATGTGAGCAGCCATCACAGTACGGGTTATGGCAAGTGCTGCAGGCAGAGTTCTCCTTAGTTTGATTCCTTGCAGTAACTTTACTTCCCCACTCTTAAATGTAGTAAAATATAGCCTGAACTGTTATTTTTTTTTTTTTTTAAAAAGGGATACATCCCCTTCCCCCAGTTATCTTTTCAGGTTTTTTTTCCACACATCTCTACGCACACTCCAAGGTGAATGAAAACGGAGCCGAGTGTATCATGTCAAAGTGACTCCGAGTCTGGGCATTCTTCATAAATTTTATATTCCTTGCAGATTCAACACTTTTCATTTGAAAGAACAAGGAAGTATTTTGACTGCACTAAAAAACTTTTTTCACCTACTAGTTCAACTATTTTTACCTCCTCTTGGCTAAAACCACATTCTTCATCCATTTAACACTATAATGAAGTAGCTTTAAAAAACCCTAAAACTGGACAGAGGATTAGTAGTCATTAGCATTTGCAAGCACACTGTGTGGTGATTTTATTTTTAAAAGCTGTTTCTAATCTTAAAAAAAATAGTTCTTTTTAGGCTAAGATAATGTTCTAATGGATGCTTTTGATTGAAGTGACATTAGGAAGTCTTCCCAAGAACACTTTTGGAGTACTTCCATGTTGCACGTCCCCAGTGAACTTAAACTAGCTCATTAGCTCCAGAGAACAGGACAGACAGGACAGCAAAGCCCTCAGCACAGGCTGCAATGGATGGCAAGACCCAGGGTATATACTAGGACAATTTGTTCACAGAGCTTCATGCTCCTCTGTCAATATTTCTAGCTGAGCTTGCATTAGCTAGCTGCTTCAGCCAATTAATTCATACAATTTGTCACCGAAGCAGTTAAACAACCAACCAATCAGAACAATAACACATCTATGTTCATTGAAAACCCTGCCACAGAAGTATTATTCCAGAAGTAATTCTGAAATTTGAAAATTTTAGGTAAACTGTTCTGGTCTTCCTGATTTTAGAACTGAAAGAAATACAAACCAGGATTGTGGACAACACTTAATGCTGAATTAGAAGTGAAAGGTCACTCTTCCCACTGAAGATTTGTGAAGTACATGAGGAAACAAGTACAAGGAGATTTTAAAGTGTGTTTGTAATAATCTCCTCTATTCAGGTTCTTTATATGATTGACCTGTTCCAAATGTTAGATTGTTATGCTTAATTATTCAGGGATTTAAATACTTTACTGAACCATAATTCAGAACTAAAAAACTCTCCAGCTGCTTTCTGAGAAATCCTAATCTGAACTCATTAAAGGAATTACCTTCCTTCAGGGTAGTTACTGCTCCATTTCCTGTACAAACTATCAGCATTTTTTTGTGGAAAGTCTTAAACCTACAAAATGTATTTCACTTTGTTTCTCCAAGTGTCTTAGATTACACCTTATATAGCAGCAGTTCCCAGCTGGAAGGATGAGAAAGAATCAAAACACCAGTTAGAGTGCCTTCATTAAAGAGTTCCCTTAATTTTATAAATGGTACCTTGGATGTAAGGTCTCGGTGGAAAATGCCTTTATAGTGAAGATAACTGATTCCCATAGCAATGTCAAATGCCAGTTTCACTCTCACTGTCCAGGGCAGATGCTGGTTACTGTCTAATAGCTGCTCCAGGTTACCACAGTTGATGTACTGAAAAGACAAAGCAACATTTGTAATTAATGATTAAACTTCATATATTGCCAGGAATGCAAAATTCGTCATTACACAAGTATCCTCAGCTCAGCTATACATTAAAAACTGGGGTTTTCTTCTTAAGCTAGGCAGGCACAGAGTCTGCAGATCAAGAGAGGCTGAAAATGTCTCCCTTCACCACCTGTACCAATGTATTTATGTCGAAGACACAGGCAACAGCCACCACTGCGTTAACTCCATGGTATTTAAATGGACCCTTCAGAAACACCTACAATACAATACCAGCCTCTCATTTCAGTGTGAGGAAAATAAGGGCAAGAAGGATAAAGAGCTGGCTCTCATACAGAGTAAATCAACAAAGAGAGGTCTAAGTATCCAAGTGTAGGTCACGGAGCCTGATCAAGTTCCAGAGATCTCATTCCCTAAACTGAAGCAGCATCAAAGAGAAATATTACAACGTGTTGCTGTAAGTTACATTTTTTCGCTTCTGTATCTACAAGTCCTAATCAGCAATCTGATTCCCACTGTGTTCAGTACTACACAGACCCCATCAACTGGCAGCCCTCACAAAAAAAAACTACCTTGAGTATAAGATAAATGCTAGAAGAGACAGTCAAACAAAGCAGCACTCAAATGATGTTAAGCAATATAACCCAGGGTTAAGACATGGCAGCTCCACTGCTCAAGTAATCAAGCCCAGTGCTGCTGTAATATGCTTTATGGACAGACCCTTTTTACCACAACAGGAGCTATGCCACGTTTGAGTAGCTTCTTGTTTCACTCCCAGCCCCAGACCCCTCACCAGCAACAAAGCAAAAAGAGTAGCTCACTCCGGAAGGAAACCCTGGCAGCAATGCAGTGACTGCTCTCAAGAAAATCCAAGCAAAGCAGACAGGATAATTTGCTCCCAAGCCTGGTCCAAACAAATAACAGTGTGGCAGGCCACACCAACTTTCCTCATCTATGCCAGACAGCTCACCCTCTCTCTCATAGGAGCTCTGTGGGCCAGTGGAGAAGCTGAGAAGTACTCTTGCAGCACACAGACACAGTGGGCACAAAGCATCCTCACCTTCAGCAGTTGCTTTTCTCCGCTAAAATATGAACCTTGGACCTGATCACAGTGCTGTGCATCCACCTTTTGTCCTTGAGCAACAATCAAAGCAAAGGGTGAGTACAAGAGTTACTTCTTCCCACTCAGGGTTCTTCAAGGAATGACTGACAACTAGTTCTAGTCTGCGCCAGATTTTTGAGCGTTAACAACTACCTTCTCATACCAAATAGGATAATTCACAGAAGGTGTCAGGGTCTGGGAAATGCCCCAATCACCAGCAGTTCCACATTCTTACAAGTACTTGGAGATGCTGTTTCATATCTTTTACATTAGTCTAACAGCAGGAGAAAAGAAAGCAGTGATATACAGGGACAAATTTCAAAATAAGGTGAAGAGAAACAGAATGCTTCCTCGTACTGACTAATTCTAGACCAACCATGCAAAAAGAAATTTTACACTTAGGCACAGAAAGCTTTTAAGCTCTAGAGAGTAATCCAACTGACATTTTAAAATGCACTGTCTTATTCTTAAGTAGTATAATTTTCTATCAAACTAGTCTCTTTTGTGCTGAAGTCAAGGTAATTCAATTGCTTAGAAATTTGTGCTTGGTGCCTATCATAAAAGAAAATTCCTGTTGGCCCCTCTTCAAAACCAAGGCAAACAAGACAATACACCAGTGATAAAAATCAAATGTTGAGGACTGCTATAGGCCACTGCAGCTGGGGGGGAAGGGACTTGATCAGGTGACTACACTAAAACTAGAATATGCAGGCTGGTGCAAGCTAGAGATCCAAAACAACCTGTTGCTTATGGTAGGAGTTTGTGTGTTAGGAGAGTGGAGCAGCTCTGAAACAGGTCACTTGGAGGCTATGCAATCTCCATCCTTGGAGATTTTCAAGGCCCAACTAGACAGAGCTGCAGCCAACCTGACTAAATGTTGCAAACAATGCTGCTTTGAGCTTTTCCAGCTTTGATCTTTCTTTCTCATTGCTTTTATGTGAATCCCTAAGGGAACTAGATGACCTTATAGAGCACTCAAAAAAAAAAAAAAAACATTGCTCAATATAATTTGATTTTTTTTTTTAAATCACAAAAAAAAAAAAAATAAAAATAGCATGCTTAAGGAAAACTGAATGAGATTTCTGTATTAACTTCATATATATTCTCACCCTCCCTGGAACAGTGCAAGTGGCACTTCTCATCCAGTTATGTTCAAATCAGAGTAGTACTGACCAACCTGGAATAGAAGGCAGTGAAGCAGCTAGCTCAATTACCCAATCATAAAGTGACACTTCAGAATATCTCAAACCACTTCACCTTTCTGACTGGGCAATGACAGACCATCCATAACTTGAATTTGCTGCCAAGAGAATACAATAGGGAAGGGAATCACTGGCCTGGTTTTCTGTTTTGGTTGGAGTTCAACTGTGCCATACCCTGAACAGTAATTGTTCCAGAAATGCTAATAAAATAAAACAAGCAACCCAGAAGAGTATTGACATACATATGGAAATGTGACATTAGCTAGCTACTATTTTGAGTATGCTTGTACTTTTCAGTAATGTAGACCATTGATTTGACCCATTGCTGCCATATTAGCTCAGTGCATCCAGCATATCTGCCTCTATGCATCCATGTATCCATTGCCCCAGCAGCCTTCCAGTCAAATTGGCTCATAAGGTCATTGACCCTCCTTAACCACAGGGACTGGATTCTAGCATGAGCTGGGAGAAAAACAGCGCACAGATAGGATACAGCATGTGTGAGCTGCAAGAGCAAGACTCAAACCTGACCCCAGCACATACATAAAACTCACTAGGCCACCTGGCAAACGCTCAGACCTCATTTATCAGAGATGCGAGTTCTGGTTTTGGCTCTAATTTCTAGTGTACTTCCATGAAGCACAGCAGGCTAATCACCAAGTGAAAAGCTGAACTAAGATTTTCCTATAGACAACTTTAAGACTTCATTTGAGGTCAGATTTTAGCTGGCCAGCAGGCAATATCTGCATGCAGAGTCCTGAATGTCCCTCAGGCAAGCAGCACATGGAGTTCAGTGCTCCCGTAAGTAATTCAATTCTTCCGGTCACTCAGGCTGATAATGCAAACAGCCAGCCTCATGGCCTATTTTTTTCAGAGCTCTTCAACAATGCCTTTTCAGAATAGACACAAAATTACGTACGTTATTTCTTAACTGCCTGTGCAATGAAATAAAAATACTTAATCTCTTAACTTGCACAAATCAACTCTATGTGGTAAGAATATCCTGAAGGATATGCAGTGCACCTCCCCCAAAGAGAATACTGGATTTTGTGCCTGAAACATTGCAGTGCTGATACAGTAAGCCTAGAGCACACACACCATCTCAAAGCATTATTCTAATACAACAGCCACTGCATACGTGTACAAGCAATTGGAGCAGAGATTTGATCAGGCTATAACCACGAGAGCAAAGGACACTCCATTTCACACAGAGACCTCACAGCTAAATGGAGCAGTATTCAGACCTTCTCAAATCCTGTATCATGGAGCTGCAGTACAACAGCTACCCATTATTCCTACTGCTAGCTTTTTGTCCTGCAAGAGGACACCAATAGCCAGTTTACATGGCTTCCGGAGTCTGAAAGTTACTGCTTTAGGTGGTTTATTTTTGCATTTTCTACAACTCAACACAGCAAATGGAACACCACTTTTAAAGACCCTGGTGTTTTAGCCCACAGAAGCTTTATTTCTAAAAAAAAAAAAATTATCTGTGGTAAGAGCTCATGCTTTTGCTGCTAGAAAGGAAGTTAACCAAAACTGTAAAAAACCTTACATGCTTCCCAAACCTTATGAGAAGAAAGGGTGGTAGCTTTGCCCAAGGACAAGTCACCCATAAGCTCAGTCAAGCATAGGTGCTTTCTGGATCAAAGAGCCCTGAAAAGGCTTCCGATGTTATAGCTTAAGACTATGAATGCAAAAGCAGCAGTGTATAATCTTTCTCCACACAACAGTGAGGGCAGAGGGAAATGTGCTTCTTTAACCCAAGGACAGAGTAACAGGACAGCTTCATTGTGAGACACTTGCAGTCACATTATCAGACTGGACCACATGAAATTAGGAATGGAATGAAATTCAGCACATAATAGTACTTACACATAGCATTACATGCTTCCTCTCAAGAGGCTAACACACTGAACTTCAGTTGCCAGTTTTTAGCCTTCAAAATTCAAAATCAAAGTTTGAACAAACTAATATTAAAATTAGAAGCTTTTAAAGACTAGGCGCATCAGATTCCCATGATTCCAGCAGCTACTGCTGAAAACCAGACTCCAAATATTGTCAAGTCTGAGGGTGAAGACTGAATGGAATTGCAAAGAATTTTCAATGCTATTTTGAAAACCAATGCTCATTCAATATGTAGGTTTAATATAAATAAGCCACCAGATACTGCACAGGAAAGCCAAAAAAAAAAAACTCTGGCTTGCTATTTACTCAGCTTTAAACATCACTGCTTGACATTTAAAAGGCAACAAATAACCACAAGACACCCCTATATGGTAGCCCAAACGTTGCTAAAGGCAACACATTAAGTGGTTAAGAAAAGTAAGTGTGGAGAGTGCAATTAAACATGACAGACCAAGTGAGGTAAGCAAAGAATAAGAGCTCCCAAGACTCACTATGAGACAAACACCGATACAGCAACAAATAAATATACTGGAGAAGCTCAATGAAAAAAAACAGGCAGAGAAGCAGGAGGAAAGAGAAACTAGAGTCACAGCTGTAGCACCTTCAATGTGGAGAAGAAAGAGAGATCTCAGAACAAAAGCCAGACCACGCAGCTGGACTCTGAAGGAAAACAATATAGTAACACTGCAGACATCAGCCATAAATGCACTGAAGCAGTGACAAAAGAGAGAGAGCTTGTATATTTGTATAATTTCTAATGCTGGAAGTAAGAAGGTAAC